AAATAAAACATTAAACTTTGGAAACTTTCTAGATTTTTATGCTTTCTATCATTGTAGATATCATTTATTTTCGTAGAATACTACCATGTCAACTGAACAACAACAACAACAACAACAACAATCTAATCATGAATCTCAATCATCGAAGGAAACTTCAATAAAGACCACTGTACCACTACCATCTCTTGCTGATTTTCTACATTGTTATGTTCCAATTACACGATGTCAAGTAAAATCTTTCTATAATATTCTTAGCTATTGATTTCTCTTTATGATTATTTCATTTCAGGTTAATGCAGATATTCTTATTCCTGGTAGAAATGATCAAGAAAATCTAGGCGTACAACTCCATCAGAAATGATAATATGTTGAGCTTTGTTTTTTGTTTAATTTTCTAAATAAAAAGATCAGCTATAGATATATATTCGTTTCAGTTGTTTGCATATAAAAATCAAACTTATAGACAAAAACGTGATGAATCCATGGGCTCAACATTTACACAAGTATTAGTATATATATATATATATATATATATATATATATCTTGGAATGGGAACAAGATTTGATTGCCTATCAATTGTCAAAGAATGAAATCCATACTAAATTTGTTTTTCTTAATTTCATACATAAACATTATTTTCATCTCTCTCTCTTTCTTATTTTCTTGTAGATACATCAATGATATATTCATGATAACAAATCAAAGAATCAATGTCTCTGCTATTGAATGAATATCCACCAAGTTTCATTCAGAAACAATTTTATCATTTCTTCCACTCTAACAATGCTATGAACGTATTAATGGAATTAAATGCCAGCAACTATCACAATTTACATCAAAAATCATTATATCAGTCGACACGACGATAAAAATAATAATTCGAGATAAAACTATTATGTATCCACGTTTTTTATTCGATTCACAAAATTTTACAAACAATAGAAAATTATTATACATACGACTGTGTTTCATTACGAAAGGTGAAAATTCGACTAGTTGTCAATAAGAATGGAAAATAAAGCGTACAATCGCTGATTCATATTGAAACTTTTGTAAAAAAAAACGAATGTAATACATGTAGCCTTATTTTGTAATTTTCTTTTCATTTCATTTGTATATTGTCAAAAATTTATGCAAATAAATAAAGAAGAACATTCTTAATATAATAATCTTTTATATTCTATCTGATATACTAGTTTTTTTCATAAAGCAATGATGATCATACACTACGGACGGATATTAAATCCATGAATTATGCACTGGGTGTATGATGGACTACTTATCTATTATAAAGATATCGTATCATACTTTTATCCTCAGTTGAACTCCCTTTCGTGGGCACCCACACTATGTGATATGCTGCTTGTGAGATAGAATGTTTATGAATGTATGAATGAGATAGATAAAATAAAAAGTTAATCCTATATTGATTTTCTTCAAGAAAAATATCGAAGAAAGAACAACATTTTATGTGAACGCTCAATCATTGGTCACGCTTTTTCTAATTTAACTCCCTTTTGTGAACACCCACACTTTGTGATATGTACATTTTGAAGACAAAAATGTTATGAATACATCTGATGGAACATCGACAAATAGGAGGAATGTGAAATGAAAATATTTTTGATGGGATGTTTGATTGAGTCGGTATAACAATCTTTCTTTTATTTTCTCATGATGATAAGTAGTCATGCCAAAATGGTGTCTCTCGAGAGAGAAAAGATCAATGTGACATCCTAAACTGTGGTCTATTGCTCTATATGATTTTTAGTTCTTTTTTTTTAAGATTAAAATCAAAGTTAGGTTTTTGTGGTCTTCTGAGTATTCAGATTATCCGATAACTTGTGTGATATGATCTAAATCATTTTATTGTGTGAACTTTGGAAAATGAATGATGTTCATGGTCTCAATGTGCAGTTTATCAATCTATGCTTTGCTGTCAGCTAACGGATTATAAGAGTAGAACTGATAGGTTTCAGGTTAATCTATCTCAAAATTATCATTCGAGTTGTAGACTATGTTAGTTATTTATGATATGTGGATCTTTGTGTTTTGAATATTACAAAACATACAGCTACCTAATGAGATTCTCCAGAAAATTCGAAACGCCTCATATTTATCTTGATATATTCGTGAATGTAGAATATATTGTGAATATATGTTTTACTGGCATTTAATTTAAATCATCAGTTTTTGTTTTTCTTTCTTCCATAATATGAAGTAAATAATGTTCTCTTCATAATTTACCATTATATGATGTGAAAATATCATGAGACCACTCGTATGAAATGAAGACATTGCATATTTTACAGTTGATTAAGAGACATTTGAATAGATTCATTTTTTGGCATGCAAAATAATCCTATTTTACAGGATGTGTTCAAATGACTAGCAATCTGAAAAGTAATGGCATCGTAGAATATTAATTTTGTTGGGATTTTCGTTTACTCAAAGACGTATATATATATATATAAATTCTTGAGATGTATATTTCATCATAGTATAAATGTCGAATTAGTTTTTACTTTTCCTATAAGATTGTTTTATAATAATGATCTCGAGTGAAACAAATTTACCATTATGGTCACGACTTCATTCAATACATAATATTTCATGGAATCTATCTTGTATCTTATGTCGTTTAGCTAGTATCATTATTTTATTTATATCAATCGCTTGCTTTACATTCAATATAGGTCTTTTAATTTTCTCATCGGTGTCCAAATAGTCTTGTCATTTCATTGGTC